TGATGCTTTAGTGCCAGTGGGGGGTGCTACAACGCCCAACCAAGGTCCATATATATGTCCAGAAACAAAGCGCTCGACACTCCAACGCCCGGAGGTTAGCACCCAATCGTGACACCCCAGCACTAGTAACCGTATTTGGGCAGTTCAAAGCTTAAAATCACGTCTTTGTTGTGGAATTGGTGTGCACTTAAGTGGAATTTTGAGATTTCCTCTTATGCAAAGGAGAGGAAGGAGTGTTATTGAGTTTCAAAAGTTTTGAGAGGCTTGAGTGTTGTACTGCGTATGATTGTCCTCATTTTTTATTGCAAATTTCTTGGTGTGATGTGGCTCCATGATTTTTTCTCGTTGATGGGTTTTTTCCAAATTAAATCTTACTTCTCATATTTTTTTTTGATTTATTGTTTTGTGCGCTTCTTTTTTAAGTTTTATTTCGGATCTATTGAATTGATTTTCGCATCTTTCCCAACAGGTGGTATAAGAGAGGGATTCCTAAAGTTTTTTAGTTTGAGTGTGAGGAATGGCCAATGAAGAGATGTACAAGGTTGAGAAGTTCAATGATTCGAACTTTGTTTTTTGGAAAATACAAATTATAGATTTCTTATTTCAGAACAAACCATATTTGCTACTGGATGAAATTACTAAGAAGCCGGAATCGATGACTCTGGAAGAATGAAAAGTTCTTAATGGAACAACACTAGGTTTGATATGAATTTCACTTTCCTCATATGTTGCTTTCAACATTGTGAATGAGAAGACTGAAGACTATTGCTCTATTGTTGAAGTAGTGGTTGTACTAACAAGAATGTATGAGAAGCTTTCGGCTTCAAACAGATTCTTTTTGATGAAGAGGTTGCTATTCAATATGAAGATGAAAGATGGCAATTCAGGGACTGAACACTTGAATAACTTCAACACTATGATAAACCAGTTCTATTCTATTAGCATCAAATTTTATGATCAAATAAGAGCACTGTTACTCTCATCTTCATTGCGACAGATGCGATAGACTAGTTACTCGGGTGAGTAATTATTCAGTAATATGAAGTTAAACTTTGATGATATTGTGTGGTTAATGTTTAATGAAGAAATTTGAAAGAAGACGAGTAGTGAAATTTCAAGTTCTGCTTTGAATGTTGAAGCTAGAGAAAGGAATTTGGTTAGAAACATAAGCAAAGAAAGATTTAAGTCCAAGATAAGAAAGTCCAGGTCAGGGAAAGAAAAAGCCAGAGGTGAATGTTGTAAATGCGGGAAGAAATATCACTTTAAAAAGGGCTGCAAAACTCTGAAGAAGATTGGTGGTAGAGATTCAAATAGAAAATTTTCTATAAATGTTTCTATCATTAAAATCTAAGATGGCTCTCTTAATTTGTTCCTGGATAATATTGAATGGTGGATAGTAGATTCAGGTGCCTCTTTTATTGTTGTTCAAAAACTACATTAGGATCTAGAAAATGTGTATTTAGGAGATAACAAGGCTTGCAATATTATTGAAAATGTGATGTAGATATAAAGTTGTCAAATGGATCAGTCTAAAAACTAAATGAAGTAGAGAAATTATATGTTTAAACAAAAATCTAATTTATGTGAGTCAACTTATAAGGTCAAGGTATGTGACCACTTTCACATATGATTCGTGGAAGGTGGCTAAATGTGCAATGGTGATATCTCGAGGAAACATTAAAGATACAATTCATCTGATCAATGAAATGTCTGAAACCATTAAAATAACTGAAATAAAAATTGATGCAGGTCTTTCGCACTGCAGGCTTAGCGATATGAGTGAGAAACGTATGAAGTCCTTATTTTCTAAAAATATATTTTAGAGTTTAAAGTCTATAGATTTAGATTTATGTGAAGATTGTGTTTATAAAAAGCAAAAGAATGTTACTTTCTCTAAAAATGGGTCAAAGATGAAGTTTAAAATGCTGGAGTTAGTGTAAATTGATGTATGAGGTCCTATTCTAGTTTAGTCTAATGGAAGTTCTCTATATTTTTTCACTTTCATTGTTGATCACACCAAAAAAGTATGAGTGTGATTTTGGATACATAAATTTGAAATAGTTAATATGTTTAAGAAGTGGAAATTCATGGTCGAGAATGAGATAAGTTTGAGGTTGAATTGTCTCATCAAATAATGATGTTGAGTATCATGATCAGAGATTCATGTGTTATTTTATGTTAAAAGAAAGTAGACATGAATTCATTGTTCCAATGACAAAGTAACAATATGATATTATTGAACACATAAATATAATCATCACAAAACATGTCAAGCGTATGATATTGCATGCAGACTTGCCAAAGAAGTTTTGGACAGAAGCAGCGAACACTACAGTTTATCTAATCAATTGTGATCAGTCGGTACCTTTATCCGAAGAAGTTTGGAGGGGCAAAGAGGCAAATTTATCTCACCTTAAAGTATTTAGTTGTTCAACATTTATTCAAGTTGATGTAGGATCCATGATTAAGTTTGATTCAAAATCTCTGAAGTGCACTTTGATTGGATATAACTTAAATGAATTTAGTTATAAATTCTGAGACTAAAAATTTTATTAGGAACATAGATGTCACTTTTAATAAAATAAGATGTATGAGGACAAAAATATAACTCAGGATTGTACATTAGTTACTTTTTAAAACTCTTTCAAAAATGTTTAAATAGAAGACTGAAGTGATCAGAAAGATGGAGAAAAGAAATGTGCTCAATCTGATGAAGCACGGTAGTTTCTCACACTTGCTACTGAAGTTAGAAGGTTCAACAAATCACATGACCGATACAGATGCATTCTCTTTTGTAATATCTATTGTTGACTAATAATGGTGAACTAGAGTGCTATGATGAGACCAGTTAAGTTGAAAACTTAAAGGAGTGAGAGAGCCATGGATAACGAGATGCATTCACTAATAACAAATTAGATATGAGAATTGGCAAAACTACCAGATGACATAAAAATAATTGCACAATAAGTGAATTTACAAGCTGAAAGAAAAATTAGATGGAAGCAAGCACTACAAGGCGATGTTTGTTGTGAAGAAATTTCACCAAAAAAAGTCGACTATTATGAGATATTTCTCTTGTAGTGAAGATAACAACTACTCGAGTTATGTTGAGCTTAGTAGCAGAGAAAAATTTGCATTTTGGCAAATGGATGAAAAGACAATCTTCTTATATGAAGTCTTAGAAGAAGAATTGTATATGGTGCAACCACAAGGATATAAAATTCTAGGAAAAGAAGACAAAATCAGTAAACTAAAAAAGAGCATTTACGGTTCAAAGCAGATACCAAAACAGTGGTATAGAAGAATTGACGTGTTTATGTTAGACAGTGCATACACAAAGTGTCAGGAAGATAATTGTTGTTTCATTAAACATTTTGATAATTATTATATTGTGTTTCTTTTGTATGTAGATGACATGTTGATTGCAGGAGCAGATATGAAGAAGATAAAATATTTGAATGAGCAGTTATCAAGGAAATTTGAAATAAAATATATATGTCCAACCAAGAAAATCCATGGTATGAAAATCAGTAGTTACAATAGTACATGTATATTGAAGTTGTTTCAGGTAGAATACGATAAGAAGGCTCTACACAAATTCAACAGGAGTGAAATAAAATTAATTTGTAATGTCTCAGATAGTCACCTTAAACTATCTAAAGAAGAATCGCCTAAATCTGAAATAGAGTAAATAGCTATGACAAGGGCTTCATATACAAGACTAGAAATTACACATGCAATAGAAGTGGTCATTGGGAACAATATTAATCTAGAAAAATATTATTGAGGCGATAAAGTGGATTCTCAAATACTTAAGAAAAGTCAATAAGACACTTTGGTTTAGAAGCACCAAAGATTAATCTACAGGGATATGTAAATTCAAATATGGCAGAAGATATTGATGAAAGAAAAAGTACATGTTATATCTTCACTTTGAGGAAAATAATAGTAAGTTGTATTTTCATATTACAACAGATTAATGATTTGGCTCTAGAATTTTATGACATAACTTAAAAATGAGCAAAGGAATAAAAATTTCACAATGAAATGATAGTGTGTGTCATTCATCTAGCAAAGAACATTGCATTTCATGCCAAGGCAAAGTGCATTTAGCTAAGGTATTATTTCATATATTCACTCGTAGAAGATTGTCAATTATCTTTCAAGAAGATAAAAAGCTTAGAATCCTATAGACATATTGACTAAGACCATAATAGTTGAGGAAGCTATTCTTGGCTTCAGTTGGAGTTCAGGTAGGTTGAAATGTGGTCGAGTCACATTACGATCAATTACTATGAAGATGTTATAGTCTTGGAGCAGAATTAATTGCAATCAATCTCCAAGTGATGCTGTGCATGTGTTGACCAATTCGTCACTCAAAGCTCTCAGTTTCTCCGATCAAGATAAACGGTGAGTTTGCTCTGAGGGTATGGGGTTGTGACTCCCTGTATTAGGTTGAAGGGAGCTGCAATGCCTAGCGGTTGGAACCAGAGCACTCAACACTCCAGCACCAAAAAAGGGTGGGTGCCGCAACGCCCAACCCAAGTTCATGTATAGGTCCAAAAATAGAGTGTTCGACACCCCAGCGTCAGGAGGTCAACACCCAACACTAGGAGGGGACACCACGGTGCCCAATCGTGATGCCCTGGAGTTAGTAACCACATTTAGGCAGTTTGAGGCTTAAAATGACGTCTTCGTTGCGGGATTTTTGTGAGTTGAAGTTGGATTTCTATATGACTCTTTTGGGAACTTGAGGTTCTGTTAGTAAGATCTTCACCAATCTTGAAGCACATTCTAAAGGTTTTCCCTCACAATATTTTAATTTCTACACTCAGCTCTCCCGATTCAAGAACACTTGAAACATGCCGATGATAATAAGCTGTACAATATTATATTCAAAAGCTGTACAATACTATATTCAGCAATCCAATAATCCCTAGTAAATGCACAGCATAAATGTATATTACCATAATCAACATTAAAGCATAAGAAATTCATACCGTCATCGTCAAAGTAGCATCCAATTCCAGTGGCTGATATGCCAACTGCATGAGCTTCAAGATACAAAATCTGACCAAGAACTCCTGTTTCCCAGAATAGACGAGGATACATCCACGCATTTTTTTCACGTAAAACTGGTTCAAAATGAGCAACCATGCCGAGGCTAAAACACCCATCTGCTGCAATATCCTGCATTTCAAAGATATGCTTGTATAAAAGTTCTATTATATAGGAATAATAAGTGATAATCATTCAGGAAATATCTTTTGAATGAAATAGAATTCATAGACTAGATGATCCATGTGAAACCAACATTGAATAGACTACCAATGACAACACTAAGCATAATACCAACGGATCTTAAACAATTTCACAAAACATGATTTAGATATTCCTCATCATCTCTAGTTTATTGTACCATCCAACATGCTCATCAAAAGTTAGAACACTTAAGAGCACCATATTATGCACCAAGCTGAATATAAATTTGCAGAAAGTCAGATGAATAAGAGAAACAGAATACCTGATGACAAGACAGTTGTTTGGCAAGTTCAACACAGTCTCCTGTTGCAAGCCTGTACAAAGGTAAGCCATCTGGGCAGCCCTCTGGTCTTTCCCACTCAAACTCCGAGTTCATTGCCATCTTCAGTCTATCAAAATGCTCTTCATTCCTAACCAAGAAAAATAGTCCAGGCAGCAGATCCTTGACCCTATGAACAAACAATACAGCATGAACTTCCGCATCCCAAGTCATAGTCCTAAAGGGCAGAGCAAACTGCTTGCCCTGCTTCTCCCCAGGCCCCAACTGCCCCGATGGAAGACAATGCAAAAGAATCTGGTAAAAAGTGTTTCGTTCCATAACCTGAACTCCATCCATATCCACAGCACTCCTACGCTTCCTAACAAGTTCCCGCACAGAAATTTTCTTATACAAATTCTCTGATATCAGGGCGCTGGGATGTAATGGGTTGACAGAGAAGCCCTCGCCAGCCGTGATCGGTTTCTTCACTGCCTCGGCGGTGCGGTAAATGATGTCCCAGTATACATGGTCCTTGCTAAGCGAATTAGGTTTTCCCATCCACTTGAGAGAGGAGAAGCCGGAGAAGGCGGCGCTGAGGGATTGATACTCAATAGCAGGCGGCCTGCCAAAAGGGAAGATGACGAGTACGCAGTCCGGGTGCTGGGATTCAATCCAGGGGAAGCGACCTCGAACTGGACGATCAGGAAGCTGTTGAGGCGAAGAAGGATTTGCAGAATCCAGACCAAGAAAGCAATGGAGATCGTCATGGCCGAGGCCGTCGAGCAGGCGGACGTCCCATCCGAGCGAAGCGGCGGCAATCGCTACAGCGGCGATCGCGTGGCCAATGTCGTGATTGCAGTAGCGGAAGGCGCGCTCGCCGTACTTCCAGGCCTCGCGCCAGAAGATGGAGGAGAGAGCGAGAAAAAAGAAAGATTCGCCATCGGGAATGGGGGCATGGTCCGAAGGCACGTAAGCACGGAGCTCGAGGGTGTGGTCTTTGGGCGAGTAGTGAGCGAGGAAGGGCTCGGTGGAGAGAGGGGGGAGAGGAGGGCAGAGGACGTGTGCCTCGGTGGGGTGGAGGTTGCCGCTGCTAGGGTTAACGCGGAGGGACCAGGTAGAGAAGCCGGTGGTCTTCCAAGCTGAGAGGGAGAGAGAGTCGTAAAGGAGGCGGGAGAGGGTGGAGTGAGAGAGGGGCTGCGGTGGGGCGGGGGGAGAGTGTGAAAAGAGGGAGTAGTATGAAGGGGAGTCGCCGGGCTGAGGGGAGAGGTGGAGGAGGGGTAGTAGTGGGGAGGAGAGAAAGCGAAGGAAAGGGTTGGGTTGATTGGCCCAATCAAGGCCGCGAGGGCCGCGAGCATAGCCGGAGGTGAGGGAGTGTTTGGTCTGGTTGTGGTAGATAATGGCTTGCCGCTGATTTAGGGGATCGAGCTTGGCCTGGTGCTCGTGGGTTTGACCGTGAGCTGAAGTGGGAAGGGAATGCATGGCGGAGGAAGTGGTACGGAGGAGACGAGGGGTGGCAGGAGGCGGGCGGGGAGGATAGGGGAATGGTAGCGGGAGACGAAGGGAGTGGAACCACATATCGCCAACTTATTGAGCTGGGCTTTAGTGCATGCTAGAATGATGTAGAAACTTGAGAGATTGTCAAGTGCATCAGGGTTAGCTGGCCAGGTGCACCGTTTGAGTTGTGCCAGCATCTCTCGAAGTTATTTCGTAAGAATGATTATTTTACATGATAGGTAGTCTACCAATTTTCATGAACGGGATTTTATTATTATATGAATATGGATAGAGTGTTTATACGTTTAAACATGTAAAGTTTTGAATAGAGGAAGAGGTTCAAAGTTCAAAATATAGTTTGAACCACAGTTGAATTGGGTGTGAAATGGGAGATGCCATGACTGTTTAAAAAATGTGTGACATGAAATAATATATTATGAAATATAAATCATATGTGAACTTAAACAATTCAGATCCTATAGTATTTTTTCTTTTCGTATTCCTTTTGTCCTTTTAATGTTGTTTCAATATTTCAGCAGAATGTTTGATATCAATCTAGTTTCAATAATCTTTTCACCTAACTTTATTTTGCTTAAGAATCCAAACTATATGATGAATTAATTAAACAGAACCTATAAAAAAATGCCACCAAGAGGAATAAACTAAAAATATTATATATTAGAGTTAGAGCTCATCATCATCAGCACTTAAGAATCCAAACTATATGATGAATTAATAATACATAATGTATAAAAAAATGCCACCAAGAGCAATAAACTAAAAGTATTATATATTAGAGTTAGAGCTCATCATCATCAGCATCATTATTAACCGTACTCGCACGTTTTAAAAGAAGAAAGAAAAAAAAAAAGAATGAGGCACCAGCTAGTACCTACTGACGAGACTCTGACAGCAAATCAGTAAGTCCGACAAAATGGTTGGTTACTCGCACGTTTTATAGATAAAAGAAGAAGAAAAAAAAAATGAGGCACCAGCGAATACCTACCGACGAGACGCTGACAGCAAATCAGTAAGTCCGACAAAATGGTTGGTAAGATGTTTGTGATCGATGTGTGAACCTATGGAAAGATTTGGTAAGGCCGAGAGAATTACGATTTGCAAACTTGGGTGAGATCGGGACAAGATAGGATTTGTTCGTTGTCTTCATTTTTTTTTTGTGCAAGATAGGATATACAAAACGAACGGTTTCTTAGAACTGACACTAGACTGCTTTGGCTCTATTTTCGAAACACAATTTAAATGTGCAGCCCAGCTGAGAATAAAATGAATAATTTTAAAATAGGATTTAAATGTTTTATTTATCATAAAAAAGTTTAATTAATTAATTTAATTTAATTTTTATTTTATACGTAAGAAAATATCTTTCACAGGAATTTAATAAATCAAGATTTATTAGGTTCATGTGAAGTGTTGATTTTACTATGATTATGTACTAACCCTTTCTGTAGGTGCAGCTTAGCTTCTCCCGCCAGGTATGGCTCAGACACGTTGCATGTAGATAGCTTTCTGTGCTAACATGTTTTTGTGTAGATGAGTCATTTTACCTTTTCCTATATACTTTTAGAGACCTAGGAGAGTTTTGTAGTAGAAGAAATATACGGGCATGGGTTATGAGGCATTTGATGTGGGAACCACGTGACGGGGGACCATGAGCAATATCTTGTGTCTCTTATCTTATATTTGCATTTAATAATTATGTATAACATTAGAACTAACATGTATATGTAGAGTCTGATCGTTCTTTTTATTTTCTAGGATATGTTGCCTACCCATTGGCACCAACGTTTTATTTTTTATATTAGGCTTGATTTCTTGCTTTATTGAATGATTGCATGCTCGGATTGGCTTTACCCTTTTTGGATTGTGCTTTTGTCTGGGAAGTTTGTCACGATAAATGCAATATAGTCCCTTTGAGATTTAAAATTCTAAAATTGCTACAAAAATCATAATAAAATATTCAAGATAATGAAAATTTTAAGATTAAAATATTCAGAACTTTAAAATTTACACTTTTAATTTATTGCATGGCCTTTGGGTCGGATTTTAAATCGACTGCATGCATAGCCATCACCCCATCAAATTTATTAGGGCCTCCACTTAGGATTGTGGAGGATAATTGCATTCATATTGCATTTCCTAAGGAGAAGTCCTCGTTCTTCTCCAACCTGATTGGCCTAGCATGAATTTCTACTTAGATAATTGTAGCACATTTGGGTAGAAGGCTCTCGACCCAGACGGGTGTAAGTTCTTTTGTTGGGAGGAGTGTTTCAAGCTTTGTAACTGAACCTCCATTTCTTTTCCTTTTCTACAACATCATTTTCATTTCGGCGGGTATAAATCCCACCACTTGGAGCTACACCTGTTAGTCATAGGATAGAGTTTCATTCTTTTGATCATAGGGCTACTAAGGTCCCCGTGAACTATACAATTCACGGATTGCTGACCAGGGATCTCTTGACGTGTTGGGTTGACTAACGTAACGACCAGATAGACTTAGGGTCCTAGTGGCTTGGGATGACAGGTTCGTAGTACCCTGACCTAGCTACCTCTACCTTTTAAGAATATTCTACCCTTCCTTTGTTGAGCCCCTTTGAGCCTGTCGTCCTTTGCGACTTTGTTTATGTCTTATTGACAAACCCTTACTGCCGATAGGCAAGTCACCCATTTGAGATACAGTGATTCATCCTCTGCCATCACAGACCGGTGAGCTTTGAAGCATAGGAATGTTTCTGTCAACTCAACCAAGTTAATTCTCCAGGGCTCGTTTATCGGTGAGCTGCCGTCCACTTGTGGATTTGATGGAGTCACCCTATCCCATGTGTTTTTGTATATGCTCCTGAGGCGGTGGGATGCTCCTGGGTGAAATAATCATCATTTGATGGCTTATACTCTAATTTAATAATAATATAAGCAAAACTCTTTTATCAAGAGTATTTTTTATTAACTTTTAGGTTGTAATCAACCAGATGATATGTTTCTCTTGGAGACTCTTGATCCCATAATAAAAAAATTCTTTTTAGTTCTCTGGTTATGGGTGGTTTATATAGGGATTATCTTCATGGATGTTCTGTTTCGAGATGCTTCGATTCGATTATGTTTGGATGTATATTCTTGACTCATCACATAAAAATTACACATATATAAGCCTTAAGCTTGTTTCTTTTTATTTTTTTGTCTATTTCTTATCGTATTTCCTTTCTATTCGATTTCTCTCCTATTTAAATATTTATAATGACCTGGGAGGGAGATTTATTCAAATAAGAAAAATATATGATGACATATAAATAGACAGCTGACGACTCTGAGGTTTTAAAAAGAACCAAGAAAAAAAGAATTTGGTGACTCCGTTGAGGACGAGTCTCTCTCTCCATACTGGAAGTTTCACATTTGTTCTAGAGTTATAGTCTCTTTCTCTCTCCATATTTGGAATTTCGCTCACATTATCATGACCCGGTTGCTTTCCCTTGATTCACTTATTGAGCTTTTTTGTGAGACCTTGGTCTTCAGTCTGTGTCAGTTGTTATGGTTAGCAACTTGACGAATCTTTTCCCATTTTTTCACCCTCAGCATTTTAGTCGCTGCATAATCTCATGTATCGGTGTTATTGTACTGTCTTTTTGTGATTTGTTTTCCTTGACTTTTCTTTTTTGTTGATCGTTGTCTCTTTTTGTTTCATAGACATGAGCGAGAGATTTGTTACGATCGTTACTACTGGGTGGAACTATGTTTCCTTATCCCCAAGTGCCTTCTGTTTTCTCAAAGATACTATAACCTTCGGTTGAGCACCTGTCAGGATTACCTGAGGTAATCCTATACCTTATGAGGCTTCTACTATGTGCCCCCCACCCCCCCAGAAAGAGGAGTCGTGCCCACAGAGTTACTCCCACTAAGGTGGCTCGCGTCGAGCCTGCCTCTTTTGCGAGAAGAGGTTGGTGTCCGATGGCAATGCATCGCATCGCCCGTCAGCCTTCTCCAGCCTGTCGGGTTGTCTGTCTGTCTTTTCACGGATCACCCTGCCTCTGCAGGTCAGTCTTCTGACAGCACTTCTGCTATTGTTGTTTCCCTTACTGTAATTCCATATCTTGTTGTCCCAGTTACCTTTAAGGTTGATCCTACTCCTAGGTTGGCCAAGAGGGCCTGGAGGGCCCGGAGGACCCGAAACAGGTTGATCAGGGCTTAACAGTAGGTTTCTACCCTTATTGTTTCAGTTTCAGTTTCAGTTCAGATGGAGTCCCATATTCCCCTGGCTGAGAACCCATTTGTTATACTCTCTAGTTTTTAGGACTACATCCCTACTAGGATTGTCAAAAAGGCTCCCCCTCCTTGTGTCGGTGCAGGCTGCCTCAGGCATGATGTACATATTGACAAGGCTACCACTAGCCTTCTTTCTAAGTTGTGGGGTCATCTCCTCTCTGAGAGGAAAAGGTCCTATTTCTGAAGAGGGGCACCTAGCTCGGATCTATGAGACATCCGAGCTGGTTGTGAGAGAACTTCTCTACTTCCCCCCACCCCCGAAGCCGTCATAGCTAGAGATGAGCTTTTGACACGTCAATCAACTGCTCGGCCAGAGCATTTACCCTCCATTGTGCGGGTTGTTGAGCTCGTCAGGGAATTAATAGGAACCCCCAGTGTAGTGTTCAATGCCAACACTTTGGAGTTTGTTCCTGCTGTTGTTAGGTCCACTATTGTAGAGACGCAACATGCATCTGATATGACTATTTCTGATAATAATAACATAAAAAATGTTGTTGCTTATGTTTCTTCTTTTGTGTATAAAGGAAAAACCAACATTTCATTTGTTGAGGGAAAGAGTTTTGAGGCACAATGATCGACCCCACCCTAAGTCAGGTGTTCTAATACTCTTAGGTCTCGCGCAAGTATACGTTTCGTAACAGAATATCAAATTTTAAGTTCGGATTGTCGATCCCACATGGAGTGAGGGGTTAACGCCTTAGGATAAGTTTTAGTCTACTAAAACTAGTTTTTAGCTTGGAACTCAAATTTGGTTGAAAATCTACAAAATAATACTACAGAGTTGTGATCAATTGAAAATGTTAAATCCTACAGAAAACCTACTTAACTTACTTAAATTGGTGATTATCAAGATGTAAATCTACCCTCCGTTGTAATGATATAAGTAGTGTGTAGGATTAGAATACTTAGAATTAAAATTGTGGCTAGTGACATATAAGAGCAGTTCTCTTCTTTAACCTCTCCCAAGTGCATAAAGAAACATAGTTAAACTGGTTTTAATTCTTTAAACCCCATAACCCATCAAAAATCATTTCCCTATCTATTTGCAGTGCCCAATGAACTACTTTTCTTTTACCCACTAGATCAATGTAAATACCCTAATCGCTCTTCAAAGCTCTCCTGAGTCATTATGAATCACAAAATGTTTTAATTAATTATTTGGCCAGAATGAAAAGTAAATTAAGCATGTAAGAATATTCATCACATTAAATATGTAAAACCAATTCTAAAAGCATCTTATAATCCTACACCACCTACATATTCATCACAATAGAAAGGTAAGAAGGAACTACTCACAATGCATAAAGGAAACAATACAAGTCATCCTTTTAAGCAAAGCAAATCCACTAGAATTGTGTTTAAAAATAATGCAAATAGAACAAAATGCTTAGCATTTCCCTGAAAAAGTGATGAAACTACTTGATAAAGGATCTCCAAATACCTTCTGTAATGTTGAGTTCTTCGCTTACAATCACACATAAGTTCCTCACCAACTCTAAAGACAAATAAAAAGAAACTTGCCTACTGCAACAAAATTCTTGCCCTAGGCTTCACAAGAACTTCTCCCCAATGTTATGAAGAGTTCAGCCCTTCCAAAATCAACAAAAACGCTCCATGGAACCCCCTATATGAACCAAATAAACTCCCCGAATCATGTGGAGAAAACTGCAGAACTGCCCCAAACAGTTCTAGCGCCTAGGCACCAAGCTCTCAGTTTGGTTGGCCGGGTTCTAGTGCCTAGGTGCCCAAGTAAGTGGCGCCAAGGAGCTTGGGTGTAGTGCCTTGGCGCCTAATGACTGGCGCCAATCTGTTGAATCTCCCAATTTGCTCTACGTCGTCTCTGTTTCACTTCATTTCTTCTCCACTTCGTTCCAGTTCTCCTACTTGTTGTATCTGTAATAAAACTATGAAATAACTTTTCTTTAAAGTGTAATTTCATCCATAAATAGGTGCAAAAGAGAAAGAAAATTAAGCATGCTTTAAGTCATATCAAAATTCATTTAGTTTGAAATACCATTAAAAGTCATATCACAAAAAAGTTGAAGGCAACTAGATGATTAATTAAATATACAGTGAAGTAGAGTTAAGAGAGTTTGAAATCTGCTTTTTACCTAAGATAAATAATAAATCACAAGTAGTTGTTAGATTTGTACCATTTTGGCCTCTATTGACTTACCAAACCTCCCTCTGATGAAACCTCAATGAAATTTATGTGTTTATAGGACTTTCAGAAGCTCTCTCACTGAAGCTATAATCATGATAATCTCCCTACAAAAACATATTTTGGAGTATGTGTTTTCCTTGAAAATCCACACAACAAATAATGTCATTGGCTATGAGGCCTTGACCACAGAGAGGCTTGTCATCAATTGCGGAGTCCAAAACTTGATGATTTATATTGACTCTCAACTTATGCTTTCTCAAGTAGAAGGGTACTTTGATGTCTACAACCCGAAACTAGTGCATTATCTATGCATGGTGAAGTCACTTCTTCCTCGTATTGAGATACTTTAAATTAATTATTCAATAATTAAGAAACAAAATACTTGGGTGGTTGCCCAATCCAAGCTCGCTTCTTTATGTACTGGAGATCTATTTAAGAGGAGTTCCATTGAGGAGATAGTTTCCTAGCACCCAAGGCTCTTAGTAAATACAATCCATTGATGAGTCAAATAAATCCTCTTAAGATGGTTGCATCCACTCTTTTCTTACAAAATGGAACATTACAAAGATATGTATGTGCTGACAGTACATCAGAAAATAAGCAACAAATTTTATTATTATTAGAAAAGAGTTGTATAAAATATCATTTATTGGACCATAACTTAAATGCCCCCCACCATCAAAAATTGATTATGCACTGGGATATGACCATTCTAGAATTTGTGGAGAGCACTTAAAGGGAAAGTAACTCGTCCTTAAGTTTATGAAACAGCAAGGATTCTACTAACCCGCAATGAACCATGGTGCATTTAACATTACATAAAAACATACTAATTATCAGATGCACTCACTCAGCCAAACGACACCAATGAACTTTCATTACTAAAGCCCCAGACCATTCCCTCATTGGGGAATCAATATTATGGAACCTATTCTTATTGTTATTGGACAACAAACAACTATCATATTGTCTATTGATTGCTTTATTAAATGAGTGGAATCAGAACCACATGACAAAAATGTGGAGACCAATAGTAAGCAATTCATTTGAAAAAATATAATCTATCCCTTCAGCATCCCTAAAAAGATTATTATACATAATGAAACTAAAATCACTTGAAAATTTTTCACTTTTTTTGCAAAGAACTCCACATCCAACTACGACATAGTTTTAGCCCATACATCCTCCAACAAATGAATATATAGATGCCACTAATCAAACTATACTAAAAGGGTTAAAAATACACCTTAGAAAGGCTCAGGGGATAATGGAATAAGAAACTCCCTAACATTCTTTCAGCCTATCGCATTGCTTCAAGAACACTGCCATGTAAGATTTCTTACAATTTATGTTTCAGGACAAAGGCCTTAATCCCAATCTATCAAAATTCTAAGCTCTAAAGTTATCAATATCAAAATCCTATAGCCTTGGAGTATAGACATTCGATCCTAGGAACATTGAAGAAAAACTTAGATACAGCCTAGATTTTCACCCAAAGACTCGTGACATGGACATGCTAAGAACTACCTCATACTAGCAAAGAGCAATTCTCCACTCCCATCGAAAGGTAAAATCATGTCCCATCTCTTTGGGAGACTTCTACAAAGTATTGAGGTAGTAGGAATGGCCCCCAATCCAATTAGCTTCTCACCCATCTGGGACAGACCTTATGCAGTTTTGACCATGATCAAGCCAGAGAATTTTAAACTTACAAATCATAATAGAAAGACGTTGCCCGAAACTAGAACATAGAAAATCTGCATAAGTTTAATCAACAAATCTTTAAGCATAAACTTTGTAGTTCCCAAATCAAAGCTTGACCAATGCTAAGGGGATTTGATCTGATCTCTTTCACAGAGTTGGATAACCTATTGTAAGCATTGTTAACAATTGCAAAATTGAGAAGAGAAGAGAAAGAGAAGAGACAAAGAAAACTAACTAGGGTTTCCAATATCTCAATTACCTTATGTAAATAAATAGAAATTAAGTGATATGCCTGTCAATCTTCTAAATTATATATATATATATATATATATATATATAAGTAAAAATTCTAAACTACCCTTAAGTAGGGGAAAATAGTAGAAATACAAAACCATAACATCTAACATCCCCCCTCAAGCTCACGATGCATCAAGGGGAATCATCAAGAGTTTACTAGTCAAAAACAAAAGTGTTGAGTGGAATGCGATTTTGTAAACACGTCAGCAAGTTGCATGGATGAAAAAATTTAGGATAAGGTGATGGTGTCATGTTGAAAGTGACAGCGAGTGAAATGACAATCAATCTCAATCATGAAAGACTGAGTTCCGGGCAATTTGTATAGCACTTTTGTTATCACAATACATAGGAGTTGCGCTAGAGAAAGAGACGCCCATATCAGCAAGTAACCAGCGCAGCCAAAAAATTTCTGCAATAGTGGATGTCATGGCACAATACTCAACTTCGGAGAGGAGCAAGAGACAACAACTTGCTTCTTAATCTTCCAAGAAATGAGAGAATCTCGTAGAAAATTACAAAATCATGTGGTAGACTTACGATTGGTGGAATCACCACCTCAATCAGCATCTGAGTAGGCAAGTAATTCCAAGGAAGAAGATGTGGGAAAAAGAAGACTCTGAAATTGAGTGCCCCGAAGATAACGAAGAATGCGAAGAACAGCTGCCCAATGAACTGTAGTAGGAGAGGCAACACACTGACTAACAACATGTACTGCATAAAAAATATCAGGCCTAGTGATGGTAAGATATACCAAGCTGCCAACAAGTGTATGATCCAAAGTGGGATCAGACAAAGGAACACCATCAGAAGAGGTATAATGAACATTAAGCTCAAGAGTAACAGTTGTCCGAGTATCAGTGAGACGAGCTTGTTCGAGGATGGTGCCAATATACTTAGATTGGAAAAGAAGATAACCTCTAGGAGAATGACCCACTTCAATCCCCAAAAAATATCGAAGAGTACCCAAATCTTTCATCTCAAACTATTGAGCTGATTATAATTTTAACTCTACAATCCCATTATCATCATCCCCAGTAATAATCATGTCATCAACATATAGAGAGAGTATGATACGGCAATGGGAAGTACTCTTGAGAAATAAGGCAGTGTCATGTGAGCTAGAATGAAAACCAAACGATGCAATCACGATCGAAAACTTTTCAAACCAAGCTCGAGGAGTTTGTTTAAGGTCGTAAAGAGCTTTCTTTAATTTACAAACTTCACCATGATTATGATGGACACTTGGTGGACGCACCATGTAAACTTCCTCTTGAAGATCACCATTTAAGGATGCATTTTTAACATCCATTTGAAAGATATGTCGCTGATGAATAGATGCGACTGCAATAAAAGTACGAATAGTAGTCATTTTGGCAACATGAGCAAATGTTTCTTCATAATTCAGACCATACTGTTGAGAAAGTCCCTTAGCAACCAAGCGAGTTTTATATCGCTCAACTGACCCATCAGACTTTGTTTTGATTTTATACACCCAACGAGAACCAATAACACTTTTTCCTGGAGGAAGAGAGATAAGGTCTCAAATATCTGTCTTGTGCAAAGCAAAGAGTTCTTCTGTGAAAGCTTTCTGCCAAAGAGGATCGAGACCAACCTCTTGATAGGAAGAAGACTCAGACAAATTGTGAATGGAGGTTAAAAAAGAAGCAAAATAAGTAAAATAAGTGGAGTAAACAAAATCTGACAATTTAGTAGACTTACGATCACGTTGAGGGTCGAGCAAGAGGAGGATCCACAGTCACAGAAGGCTCTTGGGAAGCAGTAGAGATAGGGGGAGCATCGAGATCTGCAGATACTACTAGTGTCAACCCTACAAAGCTCAATATCAAAATTATTTGGATGATGAATCACATGATGAGGTTCATTATCTGTATTTGTGTGAAAATGATCAATTGAGATAGAATTACACTTTGTAAGGCTATGAGAAGAAGGATGAATGGAGTAAAATGGTATATGCTCAAGAAATACTAGAAGGATGAATGGAGTAAAATTGTATATGCTCAAGAAATACAACATGACGTGAGACCAAAAAATTTTGAGTGTCAAGATCATAACAATGAAACATTTTCTGACCGTCACCATAACCAAGAAATACACAGATTACCAAACGCGAAGATAATTTATTACGTTGTACATGAAGAAGAAAAACAAAGCAAGCAGAACAAAAAACTCTCAAAGTGGACAATCAGGAGCATGACCATATAGTTTTTCAAAGGGAGACAAACCTGAAATAACAGAAGATGAAATTCTGTTAATAATATAGACTGCAGTAAGAATAGCTTCCCCCTAAAATTCACTTAGAACGGAGCCAGACAAAAGAAGGGAACGAGTTGTTTCAACAATGTGACGATGTTTCCTTTCAGCAACTCCATTTTGTTCAGGAGTGTCAGTACAAGAAGTTTGAAGAAAAGTCAAATCAGATGCAAGTAATTCAAAGAATTTAGTAGAGATATATTCACCTCCCATATCACATCGAAAACACTTAATAACAACATTATGTTGAGTTTTGACAAATGCACGAAATAAATTATAAACACCAAAAAATTCAGAACAATTTTTCATAAGATAAATCCAACAATAACGAGTATAGTCATTAATAATCGAGGCATAATATCTAGATCCACCTTTGGTAACAACAGGTGAAGGACCCCATACATCTGAATGAACCAAGTTAAAAGGTGCAGTAGAAAGTGAAACACTTTTAGAAAAGGGTAAAGCAGAAAATTTAGTAAGTTTACAACCACAAGAGTCAGAAATATCACTAGTTTTTAACTCGCCCAAAACTCTTGTAAAAGCTAAGTAATTTAGAGGAGAGGAAGAGACATATCCAAGACGAGAGTGCCATAGATAGAATTTAGAAGATGATGAACTCAAACGAAACGATGACAGGTCAACACTGGAAGCTACAACATCTGGAACTCTTAGCTCATCCAAAATATAAATTCCACCTTGCCTATGGCCTGTCCCAATCAGCCTCTTGGATTGCAGATCCTGCACATAACAAGAGGTGAAAGAAAGTAAAACTGAGAAACCAGAATCACACAATTGACCAACAGAAACAAGATTCAAAGTAAGATTGGGGATATAGTAAACATTTGAAAAGGATAAATGTGGTGTGCAAACAGACCCAGTGTCTGCTAATGGCATAGGAGTGTCATCAGCAGTCATGACTAATACAGATGATGCAAAATGTAAGGATACAAATGATGTAAAATCAGATGACATATGATGAGAGGCTCCAGAGTCAAGAATCCAAATGGAAGAAGATGTACCTGATGAACTAGAAGGCAAACCTATATCTGAGGAGGCAGACATGGCATGTGGTTGTCTGACAAGAAACTTTTGAAACTGCTCAACAAGCACGGCTACTATAAGACCCGAATAATATGCATGTCCAACACTAAGAGAGTCTGTTGAATGAACAACTGCTGCAACATTTGATGTTGGAGTCTTAAAGCTTCGTAGGTGCAACGGATTGAGTTGTCGTGTCTGCTGTGATTTGTTCAACAACTTTGGACATTGAGCTTTCCAATGACCCTTTTTGCTTACAAAAACTACATTCATCAATACCAACATTTCCATGAGATTTGTTTTTATTATGAGTAGCTGCAAAAACAGACGGATTAGGAGTGGGGAGGATCCCTTCCTCAGTATTCCCTTTCTCAGATTGAGACTTGAGACGAATCTCTTCAGCTACTAGCTCATTAACCACCGAGCCAACTGTTGGAAGAGGATTGCGATGTAAAATTGTTACACAAAGCCCTTCAAAATCATCTCGAAGAGCCATAAAAAATTGAACCAAACACTGTTCTTCTCTACGATCAGTGTATGGTTTAAAAGCTCGTAATTCTGCAGATTCAGTAAGTGATAACTGATCCCAAAGATTAGCCATGGAAGAATAAAATTCTTGGATGCTCATGTTGTTTTGTTGAAGAGCACGAATATCTATCTCTAATTGATATTCTTTTACAAAATATGACTGCACATATAATTTTTTCAAATGATTCCAAACTTCTTTGGCGGTTTCATATTTTGTTAATTGGACACCGATTGATTGTGAAACATAGTTATTGATTCAAGTGATTATTTTTGAATTATTTGTTTCTCATACTTCCAACAGTTCTTCATATTTTTCATCATTTTCATCAATGGGCTTAACAGAGGTTCCAGAAACATAACCTCATATTCTTTTGTCTTTCAAAAAATTCTTCAATACATAACTCCAATAGGAATAATTTTGTTCATTTAATTGCATACTAATAGACTAAAGAGAATCATCTTTTTCACCAATCATTGCTACGATGCAAAAATAAATAAATAAATAAAAGGAAGATACCAATAACAATAGATGCAAATGATGCTGAAAATTGGGTCTAGTCTTCACCTTTTCCTTGTCAAATCAGGATTTCGGCTGCTTTGGCTGTACCCGTGCGAACAGGAACCACGGAGAGGAGGCGGGGTTCAGCTGCTCGGTTTGCGGCTTCGTGCGAACGAGAGAAGGTGAAGAGAGGCTGCTCGGCTCGGATCCTGTATCAAAACCGAAAGCGAAAGAGGAGCGTGCGAAATGGAAATGGAAGGGGAGGCTTTGGTTTGTCTTTCGAGCGAAGGGAGGAAGCAGAGCCAATCACGAACGGGATCCGGCGAGTCCCGCAGGCGAATCGTGCGGACGGCAGGGAGGAGCACAAACTAATCGCGAACGGAATCGCAAGTCGCGCGGACGACAGGGGGGAACACAAAGCAACAGAAGGCCAAGGGCTTCGTACGCCTTCAACTGGAGTTTCTGCGTTCGTCTGCATTCGATCTCAAAGTGGGTCGCGACTCGCGAGAGAGAGAGAGCTTAGTACGTTACAGTTCGATCAGAACACCAAAATTGAGAAGAGAAGAGAAGAGAAAGAGAAGAGACTAACAAAACTGACTAGGATTTCCAATACCTTAATTAACTCATTACAAGAATATATAAATACAATAAGTAAAAAGTCTAAACTACTCTCAAGTAGGGTAAAATAATAGAAATACAAAATCATAACATCTAACATGCATCAGCTTCACTATCCGAAAGGGAGTGCTTAGATGCCTAACTTGGGAGAAGTCTTTTAAGGCCATTTCTAGTTCTACGACGCACTAAATGACGGTTTCCTTGAAAATATTTACACAATCTAAAATTTTCATATCACATCAAAAATATCACCATTTTATTTTTTAAAAGAGAAACATACTTCTTTCATGCATGGCGAATGTGACATTTATGTAAAAAATTAAAATTTCAGTATTAGATATGTAAATACAAAAGATATGTATTCAAATCTTCCATCCTAATAATTAATTTATCCTGCATGACCAATAAAGCCTAATTTTAGAAATTATTGATGTTGTTTCTGTACAGAACAAAATTTTGTAATCAGCATCATGGCCATTTTATCTCAGCTATTTCAGATAAAATTGAGATCACAAGCAGAGTAGCAGTAACAGTAACAGCATCTCATGAATCATGAGTCTATGTTGACCAGAAACATCTCAATAATCATTAAATTTATTTTGAGATTGCATAGATTAAAATTTTCATATACAACATTATGCTCAAAGAGAATTCAAATAAAATAAGAATACAGTAATTGTTAAGGTGGCTAAGTACTCAAAGAATAAGGGCATGAAATTGATATACTGAAGATAAATAACAAATCAAAAATCAGATTTTAATCATTGTTCATTTACTAGATTGTAATATACTTGAGAATTGCTGCTCGGACTTTCTCCATGAAGGCGGCAGCTTCTTTCTAGCAGTAACATAAAACAGGGGAAAAAAATATTAATAAAAAGCCAAAAACTTTCCTTTAAAATAAGCTTATTTACATGACGTTTGTTTGTTCAACAAAGGCTAAAAGAAGTTCATGACTGCCTAGAGAAAAACGCATGCAAGGAAATAATGACATTTTACCATCAAAATCTATGCGTTTGTGTAATTTAATGATAAATTTAAAGGTTAAAAAAATAAAAAATAAATAAAAATAAAAAAGGAAAAAATTCTGCACGAGTTCCTCTCATAAAAATACAAATGGAGTACAAATGTTTTGCTTAAGAGGTCGTTTGGTTTGCTAAAAATAAAATGCAATATAAAAGATTTGCAGAGTATTATAACTATAATATATTTGAAATACTTTCTAGTTATTTGATTGCTATAAAATAAATGTAGGATTTTAATTTTTTTTTTTGTTTAGTTTGAAGTATATTGAAAACATTGTATTTCAAAACATATTTTTATTTTGCCTGGCAGCGGCTAGCGGCCGCAACGTTCGATCAGCTATGGCGGGTGATCGGTTGCGGCGGGTGGGCAATAGAAGAAAGGAGAATAGGTTGTGATGACTCTATATCAATACAGGTATCCCAAGTAGTGTAGTGGAAGTAGAATAGATTGTGATGACTCCCAATCAATGTGAGTATCCAGAGTAGTATACCAAGTCTAATATTCACCCGGATTCTTCCACCGAATATCAGATTTGGAATAATATGGTTGGTTTTCAAAGAAGATAACATCTATGAAGTTATGATATTTTTTATAATTACAGAATAAAATTTGTACCCCTTTTTTTTAAAAGCATACCAAAGGAAGATATATTTGATGGGTTTTAGGTTAAGCTTTGTGCGGGTTTGATTGGAAGAGAGCCAAATATTTTTAAAAGAAGATGTAATGAAAAGGCTCTAACATGAGAGTATTTTTCAATCACAATATTGTGAGAAACTTTGAATTTAAGAACTATGCTTGACATTTTATTAATGAGGTGGGTGATTGTGAGCACGACATCTTCCCAAAAAACTTTTGGGATTTAGTGAGAAAGCATTTTAGACCTAAATACCTCGAAGAAATGTCTATTCTTCCTCTCAGCTATCCCATTTTGTTGTGGAGTTTCAACACAAGAAGCCGCGGAAGTCACATAGATTATACCGTTCTTGGCAAGAAATGGTCTACAGATAGAATTGAAGTATTTATTGCTCAATTTTGAGTATCCGAATTTTACATTTGAACAGAGTGTAAATTATGTTATGGAAAAACTAAAATATTTGTGCAATTTCAAATTATTATTCACGAGAAATATCCAACTAGTTCTAGTGTATTTATCTACAAAGAAGACAAAGTAGCCAACTCCATTGATGATTTTCAATTTTGATTGTCCCCAAATATCATTGTGGATGATAAAGAAAAGATGTGAGGGTTTGTACTAGACAAATGATAGACATGACGAGTATGTTTAGCCAATTGACATGATTCACACTGATAGAACTCTGATTTTTTATTAATAAATAAGTGACGGTACAACTTTGCAACATAATAAAAATTGAGATGATCGAATGATAATGTCATAATAGAATTTGACTTTCAATATAATCAGACGTAACAGACTTAGAAATATGAAAAAATGAAGAAGTCACTTGTATGTTATGAGAATAACTTTTCTTGAGCAGGTAGACCTTAATGCAATTCAACACTGTCAATCACCTTCCCTAAATCCATCAAATGAAATTCACAAGTGTTAGAATAGAAATTAGTAACTTAAAAGACTTCTTCGCTACATTAAAGGAACAATAGATCTCAGGCTTCCTATTCAATCAGGTTCTCTCACACTCCACAGTTACTCCAATTTAAGTTGGGCCAGCGATCCTGATCGCCGATCTATCACTGGGCACTATGCCTTTCTAGGGCCCAATCTCATATCCTGGTAAGTCAAGAAACAACCCACCGTCACTCGCTCATCCACCGAAGCAGAATATCGAGTTCTCTCCACAGCAGGCACAAATGTCATAAATTTCAAGTTCTAGTTTCATCTCTTACTTCCATCTACTGTGACAACACTTCAACAATAGTGATTGCTCATGATCAAGTCTTCCACGCCAAAACGAAGAATATAAAAATTGTTTTCCATTTTATTCGGTAGAAAATTCAATTCAACAAAGTTGTCATATGCATATATCTACTGCAGAGCAACCGACAGATATATTCACTAAACCTCTTCCTAGCCCTCACTTCAATTTTCTTCGTGAGAAATTGACGCTTCAAAGGTGCATCAACTTGAGGGAGGATAACAATGACACCAGGGAGGTATCCACTATTAGTTAAGTAATTTTGGATTTCACCCTCTAACAAACTGTCTCTAGAACAGTTTAATACGTTTACATATTTGTAGCTGGTAGCTTTATTGGTGTGTGTGAAAACAGGGGGAAACCTCTCTCTGTTAAGTTGTAACTTTCGTTTTACCTCAAGAATGCAATTCCATTAGTTTCATTTGCTTCTCGCGGTTTACTCGCCAAAATTTAAGTTCAGCATTTCTTCTCTACAGCTCCTATCTGCTTTCGTTTAATAGAGCCATGAATAATTTTAATTACAAGAGATCTTCAACATCAAATCTGATTGTAGAAATCAATCTCTTCGATTTGGGTTTTACAATATTGCGCAGCATGTACTTAAATCCTAGTTCAGTCTTATAGGCTGTTTGGCAACTTCTGAGATTAAAATTAGTAGGATTTAGTAAAACCCTAAAGTAATTAATTTCAGAAGTTTTTTGGCATGACAAATGTTAAAACTGATTAAATCAAGTGAAACAGCTTAGCAACTTCTTTAGGATTTAAACCTGCTAGAACTATGAATGTGTGGTTAGCAAGTTTTCATAGGTACAGACAGATTTTTGCAAACAATAAGGGTTTTTTGTTTATGGTTAAGATCCCAACGAAACCATAAAGAAATGCTCTCCTATGGTCAAAGGCATTGGTCATCAAAAGAATTCAACCTGTGGAGAAGTTGGATGAAGTAAAGTTTGAAATATGAAGTAAAAACAAAAGGTAAGATTTAAGCGCCGATATGTGGTTGCTTCTTAATTAACAGTGAGATGTTGCCGGGCATGCTAATAATTGACAGAGTAATAATCGTGCTTAGTTATGTGCTTTCCATTAAACAGTCGAATGGGCAAAATCGAGTTTCACTTTCAGTTTCTGTACAGGTTAGAGAGAAAGGTTTTGGAAAAAGAGAGATAGATGCAAAGAAAAAAAAGAAAGTTCAGAGAAGGGGAGCACATTGTTGCAAAAATGCAGTAGAACTAGTGCAAGCATTTTTGTAAAGATAAAAGCAAATTGAGGAAAACTAACCTGATCATTTTGCTGGGCATCGGCAATGTTTTCATCAAGAAGGGCCAAAACAGACCTACTCAACTCATTCCGCTCAACCATTTCCAGCAACTAAATGTAGACAATATATTTTTCACTCAAAATATATTATACAAAATAGAGAAATTTTCTCAAAACACAAGGAAGAGTTGCCAGTAACTTTTGAGGTACGTACAGTAGAATTCTTGTCTTTAGATTGCAATATTCTCATAAGCCTTTCCTTTGCTAACACGAGGTCACCTTCCATTTTGTCATAGGCTTCTACAATGGTGAAGATTAATGATTTTGTATGACTAAGGCGGTTTTTGGCTGCAACTTGATTTAGGATTATCAAATCCCATAAATCCGGATTTATCAAGCCTTGTGCAAGCGATGATACAGTAATCTCTTAAATCAGTCCTGGTATTCAGTAAATCCGGATTTACGTCGTAAAAGAAGCTGAATGTGACAAAATTTAATTTAACGGAGTATTGGATTTGATTGTATCTTTTTGGTGTTCAGCTGGAATTACCTTAAGGGGGTGTTTGGCTGCAGGGTTGATTTACGTTGAGTAGGATTTATCAAATCCGGATTTTCGGGCGAGCTCGTGACGAGAGCTAAGGCAACCTAAATCCATTAAATCCGTCTCTCTGTGGGATTTATTAAATTTGAATTTGCAGACGAAATGGCTGTGGAGAAGACGGAATGGGAATAAATTCGGTTTAACCGAGAGTTGGATTTGGTTTTGATTTTTTTTTTGTGTTTGGCTGGGTTTAAGTTAAATACATTGCTAAACCATTGCTAAATCATGTTAAAATGTGTGCTGCCAAACACCCCCTAAACTGTGCTACCAAACAACACCCTAAGAATATGAAAGGACATGAAATCTCCATCGACGGCATTCATACCTGTTCCTTCGAGCAAAACCTTCTGCATGGCCTCCAACTCAATTACCCTATCCTCCATCTCCTGCAAATACATAATTACGAAATTCAAAGCTGACCTTAGCATCATACCTTAATACCTACAGAAATCCTTCTTTCTTCGAACATAGAGACCTTAGTTCTAGCAACAGCAAACCGCAGCTTCGCCAGCTCAATCCGTACGTGTTCAAAGAAATCTTTGGTTAATCTGCATCATCAACATGGGGTTTCATCAAGTATCAGTTCCCCAAATGTCACCGTTGAAATGAAACTCCCCTCCGGTTCCAGAATTCAGAATAAAAGGATTAAGATCGTCATCAAGCATCCAGAAAAACTCACCGCGGCCTCAACCTCGCAATCTCAAATTCAATATCCCTGGCTTCGGTTTCAAGAAAGTATTCCACGAGCCCCGCGTTGTTTTCCGGTGGCATCCGTGCCTGAAAATAAGTGCTAAGAGGCGATTTCTCCCATAACGGTAACTGAAACGAAGTGAGGAGGAAAGGTTCACCTCCCTGCGGGCACGAAGCCGCTCCTTCTCCTCGCGCACCAGATGGCTGAACTCTTCTCTGACCTTGGCATCCTTCTCCAGCCGTCGCCGGAACTCCAGCCGCGCTATGTGGCCGCTCTGAGGCGGACCCAAGACACCCTCTGGATCCTATATGAAAAATGCGAAAAGATATGAAGATAAGGTCACGAATGGGAAGAGGGGATGGTGGAGAGAAAGGAGAGAGCCACCCATCCGATGCAAGAAATCCCTATCCTGAATGGTGGTTTCATCGACTGGGTTCTATAGCAGGTAGGGACGAAGGAGCCTGCGAATGCACCGCCGAGCACGGCCATGTGAGGCTTGGAGAGTGAAGCAGAAAGCGTCGCTTGGCAACGTTATCCGTTTCGTTTGAAGAGCTGCAACAAACCGCTCAGTAATGTTTCTGCGTGTTAGTGGACAAATTTTGTGTACGGATACCGTCAGGATTATTTCAGATTTTCTTTTAAAAAAAAATTTAGGTGGAGCTCATCAAAATACATTTACGATCAGGATCAGACGCACGTGCAGTGTCCGATCCGTATGGAATAATTTTTCCTGTTAGTGAGAAGTAGTTTTAAGAATTGAAAAAATATATTAATTTTGATGATATTAAAATATTATTTTAGTAATATTATAGTGATTACCGTCACAATATTATCTTAATTCTACCAATTCGCACATGTAAATATCACACGCAATATTTGCTCTAACAATAGGAAAGAATGAGCGCGATTCGTATTATGATGAAGGGCAATTATTCTGAACTTGTTAGAATCTCACGTAAAACAAAGGAGGGTTTACATGCCTCCTACTAAAAAAATTTGAGTTATATATTGAACATCTAAACTATTGTATTTATATTTGTGAAAATTTACATACGTAGCATCAAAAATTTTAGGATTTACGTAACTCGCACTCGAAGTTTGAAATTTACGTGTATAGCACACAAATCTACTTGTATGCCTCACAAATAGCACTTTGTCTACTCTAGTCGTCTATTCTGCTAAAATTTCCACGCAAAATTCTCCCTTCTCTTATTGTTGTAAAACGTAGCCCTACTCCTTCCAAACTATGGTCGCCCTCCGCTCAAAGCTGCGTCGACTTCTGATATCTCTCATCCACCCGAACCAGGTGATTGCTCGCACCCATACGCTCATACCTTTTCAAAGGAAACAGAACATTTAAGCAACTCATACCTTTTCATTGAACTCAGTGAACCAATCCTTTTGATACTTTCCCACCATCATCAATATTCTTTTCCTTTAAATCTCTGAACAAAACTCCAACCTACTTCTCTTCACTTTTTATACAATCTTTGATCAAATTATTTATGAGATATGCTTTTCATTGAAAAGAAACCATTCTCTTATCTACTTCAATTTTGGTTTGTTATTTTTCTATTCTTTGAATTGGAAAAGGGGATGCCAAAAGAAGTTTGTCTCTTAGGCTTTGTTTGAAGTTCCTACAAATGTCATTTGGCGGAACGGGTCTTATGTCTCGATTCTAAAACGATGAAAATTCGCGATTTCGTTGAAATAATCTGAGAATACGTTGATATAAGCTATTCTATCAAACGAAATATACATTTAGGCGTCGGCATTCACTCAACGAAAGGGAGGGGCATTGTGTTTTCAAACGAAGCCTTAGAGTTTTTAATTCAACTGTCAATTTCATGCTATTTCTTTCAACTTGAGGCTTGCTCTTATGTAAGAACTCTACAATGAGAACTAGTGTTGGGTATTTAGAAATTTTTTATTGCTTATTATTTGATTGAAGAAAACCAAAGTATTTTTCTTTGTTGTAGGGGCATTGTGGTTTCTGTGAAGCCAAATTTGCTAGGTATTTCAACATTTGACACATGTTGTGGGATGGTGTTCAATTTCTTGTATTTTTTTTCTTTTTTTAAAAAAATGATGATGAATGGATTTTTTTTCTATTCGTCGGATCAACAGATGGAGTTATGATGGATCAATTTTTGCATCAAAAAACAATCAATTGGATTGGGGGAACTCTTCCATGAGGAAACACAATAAACTATGAATATATAGAAATATAATGACTTGGCAACCAAAAAGATATCATAATTTTCTTGATTTGACTTGAACAAAGCCTGCATTATTAAATAATTTGATATATTGGCCAAGATGTTAAAACTGGTGTATGAATTATAGGCATTGACCAACTCTTCTTGAAAACTAGACGAGATGAAGGGAATGGGTTAAAACTATTTAATCTACACCATGTTTCTTGAGCGTGTATTCTATTTGTTTGGTTTTCTTAATCTATTTATTGATTATTCTTATTAGTAATGATGTGTTTCATGAATATTGAATCATAGAAAAAGAGCTCCAGTCAGTCATCATCAATAAAGGGATCGATCCAATGCATCCAAGTGAACTGCAAGTATAACTTACAATGTGTTGTTTACACTTGGCACAAGAGACAAAATATTGGAAGAAAATGTTATCATGGCTCAAAGAACTGATCTAAAGATGATTGTGGATATGTCATGTGGTTGGAAGATATTGAAGTCTGAATGCATAGTATTTTGTGACAATTATAAGACCGTGATGAAGTGATCAGGAAAAAAAAAATTACAGTTTATCTTAGCTAAAATAACTATTTTGATAGGATGTGTTTATATATATATATTGTTTCTTCATTTTGTGTGTTATTTTGAAGTTGTTTGAGTTGGCTAACATCGGTTTCACATTTTGGTGTCCAGTAAAGTATTGGTTGTAATCAATGACGATTCCACATTCGGTGTACATTTGACCATAATTTATATTATTTTTGTTGTTACATCCATGAAAGAAAGTTGTTTATAACTCTTTGGATTTGTTGAATTAAAAATAAGTAGTCAAATGTTGACAAAGAATTAGATTTGGAAAGACTATAGTCCAAGCCAATTTATGATTTTTTTTACTTGTTTTTTAGAAGGTAATTATTGTAAAGACCTATATAATGTTTAAAAGAAATGAAGCCAAAAAATTTAAAAATAAACGAGAAACTAATGTTTGACATCATAGCCAAACATCATGAGAGGTTTATTTAAGCTCATAGAAATCACATGCTCACATGTCTAAATGGAGGGTGTTGATGGCATGGAGCTAAGAGAATGACTTATTTTATTCTTTGTAGCCATTTGTAATTCTAATTAAAAAATGTGCTCAACTTTAATTTTAATTTACTATCCTTCTAATTTTTTATTTTAAAAAATCATTCCTGCCAGAATAAGACATGACATTTTCTTCTTTTGCCCATGCAATTAAAAATATGTGAACAAATCTCGCACAAATTCAAGTTATTGAGAAATTAAAGATAAAGATGGAAGAATCATTTGTGAGTATTTCATTAAATAAGTCAGGAAAGCTAATACGAACCGAAATGTTGTAAAGTATCAGCGAATCACGTAAATATATGTGTTTTTCAAGTAATATAATCGATCTTACGAGGAATAAGCGAACTCCCAAAGTGAAATTTTATAGCCCACTGGTTTTAAATCTAGCTTGAAGGTATGAAGTTCTGTGATTATGAAAAGTTACTAATCCTACTTTTAGAAATTATGAAACCAAAGCTAACAAGTTGAGAATTTCAGTGAAGTTTTCTGCTTGCTAATGAAATACTCCTCTGAATTGGCTTCAAAAATCTAAGTTCGATTGGGTGATTCAAATTGTAGATGACAATTATGATCACATCTCATTTTCCCATTTTATTTATATTTTTTATTTGAAATAAAATATATTTATTATGATAAATTAATGTTTTTAATTTAATTTAATTTAGGAAGATTTACATACACACCACTCAATTCTTATGCATTTACTTATCTACTACCTAAATTTTAGCTTTTTACACATAAGTCATCTTATTTATACTTCAAAAGTCGCATTTTATATTTTTTAAGAAATAGAATAATGATATTTTTCATATGATATAAAACATTTGGATGGTATAAATATAAAAGATAAAATTTAGGTGTTAGATATGTAAATATATATGAATTGAATGAAATGTACACAAATGCCCCCCATTTATATAAAAAAATTATTCCATGCAGTGGCAGATCTACACCTGATCTCCACCATTGATCAAAAATATTTTTTATTTTAAAAAAAAGTTAAAAACGGGGTCCACCGAAATACATCTTTGCGGTGATCGTCGGTGTAGATCAGACATCGCATGCATCTCTGCTGCGGTGTCCGTATGAAATAATTTTTTCATTTATATATTCATGCATCTCTGTATATGATGTCCGTACGAAATAATTTTTCTATTTATTATTTTTTTTCATTTTCAGCCCCATCAAAAATTCAAAATTTTGCCAAAACTAGAACGTGCTTCGCGACGTACATTTGGACGCGGAAATCACTTTTTTGAACGCTACTTGCCAGCTATTACTTAACTAATTTCTCTGGCCACCGCGAATTGACAAATAAAGACAAACGTATGCCACTCCGTCAGCGTCTGGAGCTGTCAAACATGAGATTCTGAGCTAATTGGCTCCTTTATTACGATCTGATCTCAATCTAAGATAAAAATTGAATTAATTTTCTAGCGGTTAAAGATATTCGTGTTAAATTCGCTAAATTTATCGTTCTAATATCATTAGGATTGTTAACATCGGCTTGAAAAATATCCAATTCAAACTTTGGCTCGTAACTCAACTTGTTTATTTTGATCCGAGCCTAAATTTAAGTCAATGTTCAAGCGATTAGTAATTTTTGAGCTATAATCAACTGCCCTACAAATGACTTGAGCACAACGGTCTAGCAGATGAAAACCCACTATAATTTTTACTGATTTTTCAGAATTAAGCTGATGAGTTAAATGAAAATTAAATTAAGGGATGATGATCATTAAATTGGTATTAAAATAACAATATATTTTAAAAAATATCTTTTAATGTTCAACCAAACTTAGTAATGTTATATATTTAAGCAAAATTTTTCCTTGACTCTAATAAATAAATTGAATTATTTCTTTTTAAAAAAATATTATTGACATTACCAGAAAATAGTATTCATATGCATCAATTTTACGTTATTTCACCTTCATTTTTCCCTGCAATTTACCTGATATTTTTACTAATTTATCACAGATTTGCACTTGAGAAATATTTTTGTGTTGATGTTGTGCAGGTTATATGAGTCAAAACACGAGACATAGAGTTGTCTAGCACAGTCACGCCAGAATTGGGCATGACCATGTTGGTTTCTATCGTAACCACACCAGTTTCGGACATGACCACACCGTCAAACATCCATAACTCATATTTGCCCATTTTGGATTCATTGACGTATTTGAAGAGTTTGGAAACCTATTTGGATCCCTAATATAAAACCTAACTTATAAAAACCTGTTTATGAGAGAACTGCTTCTTGGCTTCTTGGCCTCTTGGAGGCTTGGAAAGAAGTTCTGCATCAGAGAGTCGTTGGAAGCTGCTAGAGGCAAGATTTGGAGAGAATTTGAGAGCTTTTCTCAAGGTCTTATTCCTCCTTTGGTGGGAACCTTCTAGAGTGAGAGTTTCATATGTTTTGTGAATTGTGAGAGACTTGTATGTGAGAAGGGATTATTACTAATGTTTTTTCATTAGAGTTTACTTGTGCTTTCATGGTCTGTGTTATGGTAAACCTATGAACTTAATTTGCTCATAGTTTGACCAACTAATATATTAAAATATTTTATAAAGCTATGACTGCTAACCGTTGCGTAGTGGAAATGAATGATTATCACAGAATTCCAAGAGGATAGACATATTTTAGTGGAATTTTGTAATCATTTCAGGGAGTCATAATCGTTATGGAGCATATTATGGGAATTGAGGAAGCCTTAATTTCATAGATTCTGGGCTTCTTTTGACCTAAATATAGACATAAGGAGTATTATATCCCCAATTGATAGCAATTACATAAGAAAACATTTAGGATTAGGAAAATTATGTTCACCACAATCCCTGAATCACAAAAGCTCGAGCCTCATCTTGAAGGTACTCACAAAATTATTCCGCTCTTTCTGTTTTTTGTTGTTTGTCATTCACTGTATTTTTGCTTGAACCTTATGACTTAAGACATCGTTGTGATCCACCAAATTGGGTTAACTAAATTAGTATGCTAGAGATTTTTCTGCAGAAATAGTTATTAGACTTTCCACATGAGATCATACGTGGACTCTTAAACCACATACTGTTTGACACGACAGGGTTAACTAAATTAGTATCCTAGAGATTTTTCTGCAGAAATAGTTATTACACTTTCCACATGAGATCGATACGTGGACTCTTAAACCACATACTGTTTGACACGTGCACTTGCGTTGTATAACCGACTTACTCCACAATGAGTTTTTGGCGTTAATAATTGTGTTCTGTTGTTAGAAAAGCTTCAGTTGAAAAACTTAGGATCTAAGTTTGACAATTTTATTTTTCTTGTTTTTATTTTTTTTTAATTTTGTTGCTGCATCTATATTTTTGTTCTGTTTCTTTGTGTTTCTTTGCAGGTGCTAATTTTTTTTTTGAGAAAAACTAAATAAAAAAAGTATATATATATATATATATTTTTAAAAATGCTCCAACACTTTGATATGACAAACTCCAACGAAAAAAAATTTAGATCATTTGAGGAATATGGTAACACATTGATGACTAGCCTTCATAATCTTTACCCCTTAACATAGGAGCTAGGTTTGATGACCCATCTTCCAATACCTACAATCTCAATTGGACTACTTACTCAAACTCTAATTGGGCTCATATGATTAAAGGGTCAAGTTCGAATCAAGCACATTTATGTTAGATTAACGTTGAGTCAGACATGAACCCAACAAGCCAACTCAAATTGGTACCCGTACTAACAACTACACCTAATCACCCATTCAACATTTGATTTTTTTTCTTTCCCTTTAAGTTTTTCTTAAGCATATTTTTATCTCCAAACTACTTACCCTAATTCTTTATTTTAAAAATTATGACTAATTATTAAAACATTTGCATGCCATATATGATTTTTAGATTTAAAACCTTTATAACAACAATTTCTTAGGGCAACTAATTTTTATAAACCGTATAAGAAAATAATCATAGAAATAATTCTTAAGATGGATCAACATGAATACAACAAATTTATTCATTTTTCAAGCCCGCTCAAAGTCAATCTATCTTGGCTCCTTCTTGATGATTGTTAAATACAATATATTTCCTTGAAAAAAAAATTTAATTTATTTAATGAATAAATTTGTCTTGATTTTAAATTCAGTTCAGATCAACTTATTCGACCAATCAATTGTGAGCTGGTCCTTTGATCATTCGGTTTAAGTTCAAACACGCTTTTACATAGACACATACAGAACAACCCATAATCGGGTTCAATGAATCAAGAGATTCACATATTAAACAAGGTTCATCTTTTCAATTTTAATTAGTTGACTCAAAATAAATGATTTAAATAAAACAACAACCACCACAATAAGCCTTTATCACACTTAGGGTCTGTTTGGGGCAGCTGCAACTTCTTGAATATATGTTTATTTGCAGATTATCCAGACAATCAGATAATCTACAAATTGTTTTAATAAGCTGGCTGAGCTGTCAGAAAGTTCCCTCCGCACCTAGATAGGTGCGGTGTGAATACGCTGTTTTCGGATTTTTAAAAACGCATAAGTTGCCAAAAAACAGTTACCCAAATAGACTAGTTGCGTTTTCAAAACACCACCACACCAAATAAGCTGCCCCAAACAGAGCCTAAGTGGGGACGACTACATGGATACATGAATATTTTCTCTCTATTGTGACCTATTCAACGCCATATTTTTATCTAATTTTAACATATTATGATAAAAAAATGAGGAAAAAAAAGGTAAAATATCATATCTCATATTAAACTAATTTAAATAGTTATTGCATTATAATGTTCAACCCTCATTTAATGATTTGAATGACCAAGTTCTAATAAGTTAAAAGTGTCCAAACAAAAAAGATTAATATACTTCTAATTGAGATTAATTAAAAACTTATGCTTATAAACACCCCCATGAGATGATTGCAATGAATCAATAAATTATTTCTTTAAATAAAATAGTTTTTTTTTCTAAAAATATTATAAAGAAAGATCACCCTTTTAGAAGTCAAATCATTTGTGGTTATCCACCGGTGGTGACTACAATCGCTAGCCCTAAGCCGCCTTAGAAGTAATATAACAGAAGCAGCAGGAGTCGAACGCCTAGTAAAGTGAAAGAGGAGACTCCTAATTGACTTGCTCAAAATGGGAGTTTTGGCTGCTGCGAAAAGCTCCGCGACAATCACGCTGATGGTGGTGGCGATATTGGCGTTGATGGCGTCGAACGCGGCGGCGCAGGGATCTTCGCTGACTTGCGCGACGAAGCTGATAGCGTGCCAAAAATTTCTCAACAGTTCGAATCCTCCGGAGGACTGCTGCAAACCGCTCAGGGAAGCCGTGAGAACCGATTTACCTTGTCTCTGCGCTATCTTCAGCAATCCCGAGGTCTTGAAGTCCTTCGGTGTGGATGTCAGCCAGGCTCTCAAACTTCCGGTCAACTGCGGCATCACCACTTCCTCGTCCAATCTCTGCAATACAACCGGTACCACTGCTGCTTCCGATTTCCATTTTTTTTTAAATTTTTCTCCTGATTTGTTGTCGATGTTGGTGAAATCTCTTATCGAATTCCCCTGTTTTGTCCTGCAGCGGTAGAATCGCCCTCTGGTTCACCAGGTCTTCCAGGTAAGGAGTTATTTATCCTTCCAGAAATCGATGCACTTGCAATCAAATTAGAATGAAGTTACTCTGATTTGAGGATGGCTCATTTGAAAATACTTTGATTCCATTAAAATTCTACAAGTACAAATATATGAACTGCTCATCATGGAATCCTCTCCCCTTCATAGATTATATGGAAACCAATCAGTTACAATTTCTTAAGGAAATGCCCTAGCATGATTACGAATTTATATATAAGTTGGAGTCAAATTTATTATCCTAATCCAAATTTAATAAGGCTGGATTTCATGTTTTTGGATTATCTTCTTAACAAGAGAGTTGATTCATTAGTAATATATGACGTTCATCTTAAAGTAAATCAATACAACAACAACAACAACAACAACAACAACAACAAAGCCTTAATCCCACAACTGGGGCCGGCTACATGAATCTTATTTCTCCATTTCATCCTATTTAGTGTCATCTAGTAAATTAAGATAATTTTTTATACAATAAGCCCAAGTCTTCCTAGGTCTACCTCTACCTTTCTCAACACAAGTTGAATCTAAAACATCTACTATTCTAATTAGATCATCAGATGGTCGACGTTTAATGTGACCAAATCATCTAAGACGGCTTTCTCTCATTTTGTCCGTCACAGGAGCTACACCAAGCCTATCACAAATATATTTATTTCGCATTTAATAATATTCATCTTAAATATATTCATTTCTGATATATTCATCTTAAAGTAAATCACTAATTAGGAAAAAAACATCTTGATCAGATTTGAGTTTGATATCCTAACCCAAAATTTCTTCATTTAATAATATATTTTTTTAATTGAATGGTTGATTTTTGTTACATTGTGATACAAAAAACAAGTATACTTAGTATTTTATTTCAATTGCATGACATCATATTTCAAATAAATTTAAAAATATTTTTTAATATGATTTAAAAATCATGAGGAGCTTTTTTTTCTAATTATTTGACTGAGCTGATTTTTATAGCACATAATTGTATAAGAAAGAAATTATTCTTCATTATAATAAAGGTTTTATGGTATTACTTTTAAAATTACTAAGAAAATTTAAGCAGAGTAATATATTCTTTGGGAGAATTCCATGCACACCACACTATTCTTATTTATTTATATATTTAACACCTAACTTTGATATTTACTTATATAACACTTTATTGTCTCAGGTAAATTAAACTACATGCATAAAAATATATATTTCTCTTTAAAATGGCCAATATTAGTGACATTTTTTATGCAATTCAAATATTTAAGTGTTATATAGGTGTTTATCAAAATTTAGGTGATAAATATGTAAGTACACAAGAATTATGTGGCATGTATTTTGATTCTCCCTTTTCTTGTAATACATAATAAAACTTATAAAATAATAATTAGTCCGAAGCATGAATTTTGAATATTTTTCCATTGTCCTCACCGCAATTTTAGCTTATGCAACATTTGATTGGTTAAGTGGAAGTATTAACTATTACCTATGATGTGGGATAATGCATTCCAAAAATGTTATATAGTAGTGGTAAAGTAGATGGATGGTTGGTGTTGAGTCCCATACTATATTAGCATATCCTAGACACATTTAACTTAAATGTTAAATTACCTAAATATTTTGTTATTGGAAACATCTTAAATACTAAAATTTATGGTTGAAGTTATGTTAAATAAGAATTGAAATGAATTAATTTGATCTTTCTTTTGATATGAAGAAGTGAGGCTACTAATTTTATCTTTATTATTTTTGAGGTTTTCATAGATATTTGAATGAAAGTTAATTAAGTTTTGTATGACATATAATTCTTGAGGGAATGAGGATTTGTTGAGGACACCTCTTGCCACTTTTATGTTTGGACAAATTAAATCATAAATATGTATAGTGTCAAAGCATTGTGCATAAATTCTCATATAACTATGTAAAATATAAAATCTTCCTTTCTAAGTTTTGGACTATTTCCTTTCTCATAAAATCTAATTTCTGTGATTACTTAGGTGGATTTTCAAATGTTTATTTTAAGTTCCTTGTTAGACAAAATACCACTCAGTTCAAATGCCACTGGTATTTTGGTCCGTCTACTGAAGAATGAAAAAATTTTAATAATGTTGAAGATTATTGCTAGATTAATTCACGTGTGATGATGATGGATGGATCATTGGAGACTTTATACCTATATTAGTTTTGTTAGAGATTTGAATTGGATGACAGAATATAAATTGATGGTCTTAACATTGGTACTAACGGTGATATGAATTTAAATGTTTGATATTAGTTCAAGATTGATTACTTGGATGAGACAAATCCTGATGCAATAAGAACAAGTTAGAAGAGCATCTAATTATGAATCATGAATGATATTTCTTAGGTATTTTAAATTGCTAATTATCACATTTAACGGAGAAAACCATCATAATTATTCACTTTGGGGATGTTTGGTTTACTGAAAAAGGAATATAGTGTAAAAGGAATACACTAGTTTTGATCTGGAGGTTGAAGTCCAAATTCATCAAAATTTTTTGTTGTATTTCTTTTTTATCCAACCAAACGTCAAAATATTAGAATTTCTTGTATTTGGTTTATTTTGCCCCACTAATGTAGGAAATGAAATAGCCCCTCAATATAGACATTTAGGGCTTGTTGGATTATTATAATTTTTTATTTGTGCATTTCAATTTTATAAAATGGTGGTGAGACTTGCAATGCATCATGGCGCAGAATGTTGACCTTTAAAATAGAAGCATAAAGCTAAGTTAAGTATTGCTGTGATGAGTATGCTTAGGTGGATGAGTGGCTTGACACTTAGAGACAAAGTACGAAATGAATGTATTAGTGAAAGGGTTGGTGTAGCTCCAGTGGCAGACAAGAGTAGAGAGAGTCGTCTTATATGATTTGGTCACATTAAACACCGATCATCTAATGCTCAGGTTAGGAGAGTAAATGTCTTAAATTCGACTTATGTTAAGAAAAGTAGAGGTAGACCTTCAAAAGACTTGGTCATATTGTATAAAAAATGATCTTAATTTATTAGAATTAAATGAAAACACTCAATAGGACAAAACGGAGAAAACAAATTCAGGTAGCCGATCCCAATTAGTGGTATAAAGGCTGCTGTTGTTGTTGTTTTTAATTTTAAAAATATATTTATTTAGTATATTTTTCACCTGCATTATTTTTATTTTTAAAACTAAATTTGCTTATTTTTAAAATATACAAAATAAATTTTAGATATTTTCATATTTTTAAAAATAATTACAACTATCAATACCGACTGGTTGTTGCCATTGCCTATCATCTCAAGTTGCCACAGGCTGTTGGGCACCATTTACATCGTCGTTAGCATTGTCTTACCTGTAGTCATTGTTGTTCTATTTGTGACTGCCATTATTATAATATAAATCATTATATTTAATATTTAATAAAATAATATTTTTAAAACTACATTTATTTTATTTCAAATCAAATTATAAATCAAACAAAATAAAAGATAAAAAAAAAAAAGTGATTTCAAATGGTCTCTGAATTTTTTGCTCCATCTTTAGTCGCACTCATTTATCTATTGTGTTGTTTTACTTGGGGTTCACTCAAATTTCATTGTGAAAAGCTGTCCGGACTTCGGAATTGCAATGTTTAAGCTCCTTGAATACTGAATCTTTTATTGGATGCTTATAAAAATTTTGTTACTTGGCAATATGAATTTGATTTGAAGATTGAAAATCATTGATAAATAAGCTTATAAGTTTGATTGGGTAGGATTTGGCTGAAATGTACTAGCCAATAAACTTGCATGATTTAGTTTGAATTGAGACAAATATATTTTGAATTTTGCTACTCTAAAGCTCGTAAACTATATATATATATATATATATAGACTAAAATTTTTTCATAGAAGATAAAAAGTTCATTCAATTTTAAAATGATTGGGACAAAGCCTAGTTTGACTAATGCATTTCTAACAAATCGAGTTGAGATCAAACTGACTTATAGCTAAGTTTAGAAGAACAAATAATTTTGAATTCATCATGAATTTATGTTAAGCTCCCTTATCATTTGAACATTTTTTAGAGATATGTGAAAGTTAAATACAAAGAATTGCAACAATATATGCATATTTATGAAACTTCAATGACTTTCATAATATCTTCATCTCACCAATGGCTTTTTTGATATAATGTATTTGATAGAGTTACGAATACAAGGTGACTATTTACTTGTACATTGTAGGTACTCCCCAAGCCACACCTGGAAATGACAACAATGGTGCAGGCGGGTCAACACGGTCGGGCTTATGGGTTATGGCTGGTTTGTTTTCAATTTGGTGTTCCGTTTTTGCATAGGAGGAATTTGAGAGGGAGCGATTTGACGGAGCAGTGGTCCATTTTCTTACTTGTTTTGATCAATTGTTTTTTAATGCGATTTATGCCCCTTTGTACCGCTTATATAGATTATGTTTGGATTATGTTTGAGTAATCATTCAATAACATTGCATAGTTTGGTTTAGGATTTTTTTACCTTCTGAAATGAACAAAAACAATGGATGATGGTTGGCAGAAATTGAGTTTGATTGCATTTGTGTCCTTGTCTAATATTTGAAGCTGACAATATATATATTTTTTAAGAATATTTAGATATTTTAGCTATACCTTCAATTGATTTTTTTTGCCACTTTTGTAGATATTTCAGCTATACCTTCAATTGATTTTTTTTGCCACTTTTGTGTTATAAAATCTATGGTAATAAAGATTATGAATTACTTCTTAGCTTCTAGAAAAGATTTTACACAACACGAAGAATTGCACAAATCTAAGGGATATTTTTTGCATGAGAAATCTATGGAAAAAAGAAAATTATGGAGTCTTTCCAGCTCTAGTATTGACTTGAGATTACAATAATTTGCACGCACATGCAATTGAAGGAGAGAGTACAGTATAGTAATTTAGTTATAGACTTTCTCTTGAGGTAATTGTAAGAGGTTGCAATGTTGGTCAAAGATGATGGTAGGTGTTTGTTGATGGCATGAATGAATGGATTGGTTCTTGGTATGGGGCATTGGTGGATATTGTTCGATAAAAAGATAGATATTTATTGTCAGTGAAGGGGAAACATAGGGAATTTGGCATTGGTCAACAAATATTAGTCAATGAAAGAAAGGCGATGACTGGTACCATAAGTAGGACATGAATCCATGATTTCTGGTTAATGAATGTTGGATTTATGTTGTTATTACACATTCAATGTTGATGTATATCAAATATTAGGACATGAATACTAGAAGACATTAGTTGACTGATGAAAGGGGCAAAGGATTGGGCATTGGAAGTAGGATGTTGACTAACATTAGTTGATTGTAGATTACTAGAAGACATTAGCCAATGTAATAACTAAAAGTCTTTGCATCAATAATTCTGTGACACGGTCCAAAATAATTCGGTGACATAGCCTTCTAGAATCCCATTTATGTGGGGTTCAAGCTACCAACTATGATTTTTGTGATGGATCCTTTGATTCTTATGAGCATATTAATCATTGCAGGATAATTTTATATTATCCAATAAGCCTCCTATTAGTTCATCTATTAAGTCTTTTCTACCACCCTTAATAGGCAATCTCATACTTAATTTTATTCTTTTCCTAAGAGAACCATCCATACCTTTGATAAGCCAAGCTAGGCTTTTTATGAAATAATTTATTGTCAATTAAAGTCATTAAAGTCTGTTCTCATATTTTTTGAACTTTGATAAAATGTGGAAAGTACTCTTAAAGAGCATTTTTAAAGATTCTCTTTAAAGGCTTGTCAAAATTTAGGAGTATATTTGAAGTTATTTTTCTAGGAGATCATTATTCTTAACCCTTCTATTTTTATCTAATGCTAGAGATTGTTCACTCCTTTGTTGATTTCATTCATCAAATAGAAGCACAAATGACTAGTAACAAGATAATCAATGCTCATCATAAGTAATTTGAATAATTCAATAATAATTACAAGAGTGCCTCTAATGGAATTGCACAAACATCCCAATGTAGAAAGCAAAATTATTCAAAAGATTAAGGATTCACACAAAAATTGGCATAAATCAAATAACTATTCTCTATTAAATGCATCTAAAGCTAATAATCTAATGAGTTTCTAAAATTCTAATAAACTCGAATGACCAAAGATGCTAAAAGTCTAAATAATTGAAAGCAATCCTAGGATTATCACTTCAATTGCTTAAAAAGATATTTAGCTAAAAGTTGTAGTCATTTAAAGGAAGAAATTAAATAGTTGATATGTTAAGGGCACCCGATTCATTATTTATAAGCTAAGGAGTGTCATCTCAACCAATTTAATAAAGAGTGTCATCGCTCTTTTTTTACGGTTATATACCAATTGCTTAAAAAGATATTTAGCTAAAAGTTGTAGTCATTTAAAGGAAGAAATTAAATAGTTGATATGTTAAGGGCACCCGATTCATTATTTATAAGCTAAGGAGTGTCATCACAACCAATTTAATAAAGAGTGTCATCACACTTTTTTTACGGTTATATACGAGAACTCATCATTAAAATAGCTTAAAAGAAGTTGAATTTTTCATTAGAATTTCTTAGAGAATATGCATTTTATCTAAAGGTAAAAGGTTTATATTTTAAATTAATTTTTATCATTGATGAATTTTTTTCTAATAAATAATATTATACATCATAAAATCTTTTAAAGACATGCTCATGAGATGGTCTTGATGAGAACATAATAGCAAACAGATTTCTCGCTAAAAAATATCACATAATATTATTGTGTAAAACAATGCAATTTTTCTAAAGATAAAGGTTTATATTTTAAATTAATTTTTATCATTGATGATTTTTTTCCCAATAAATAATATTGCACATTATAAAATCTTTGAAGGACGTGTTCATGAGATAGTCTTGATGAGAAGATAATAGCAGACAAAGTTCTCACTAAAAATATCACTTGATATTACATGTAAAACATAGTATTAACTCTTGGAAAGCATGCACATGAAGTAAACTTGATAAAAAGCTAGCAGTGAAGAGAATCTTTATTAAAAACACTCTATAAGATTAAATCTCTATCAATTAAAAATTTGTGAAGATATGAGAGTCAAAATATACATTAAAACAAAGTCTTAGAAGATTAAAATCTCAAAAGGTTTAGCAAAATCTCATGAGACTAAAATTCTACAACTATGTTATATATAAATTTTAGAAGGCAAAAATCTTAGAAATTACACAATTTAAAAAAAAAAAAATCTTTTAAGGTAGAAGCCTAGTAAGATGTACCTGCTTGTTTAAAATCACAGAAGACTAAAGCCTTAGAAGATAATATAATTTTTATTCATTCAAAAGCCTTGAAGGATATAAGCCTTAAAAGAATTAGAACTATTATACACCCCCTGAAAGGCAATATCTCTTAGTTGTTGAAAAAAAAAAAATTCAACTGCAACATATCAAATTTCGTATGATACATGCACATGAAAGATATATAAAGGACTTGGTATCCTATGGGGGCAAATTCACAAAAAAATTGAATCACTGTCATACAAAGCATCAATAGTGATTGGCGACATCGCACCATTAATCTCGAATGTTCTAAAAATTTTCTTAATGGACCATCTCATACAAGAATTGAACATAATTCCTTTGGCATTAGCATTGTGGATGAAGGTTTATTACTCCTTGATAATATTAAAAATACTCTAAATTTTATCAGTGTAAGTTCTGTATTCTCAGTGATTGAACAATGAAACTTGAAAGGAAGATATACACTTCCTATTCAAAACCATGTCATGTTCCTTCAAAGAAGAAGATTGGACCCTACAAAAAGGATTTTACTCCTAATAAGGGTTACCTATATTTGAAGAAAGGGTTATGGAAGTTACAAAATTTTCTGAATTTTATTTTTCCTAAGAATATTTTGAATTGTTCTAAACAAATCCAAACCAATGTTCAATGTTCGATCAGTGGTGCCTTGTAATTTTTTTGAATTATAATTTCACATTGATTTATTATATTCTTGGACAACATAAATTTATTGTTAAAAAATGGAGGCAAA